ATTAGTCATCTCAGAAATGGCCTCAGTCACCTCAGAAACAGCCACAGCCCCCAGACCATGCGTCTCTGACTCCAGACCCCACTACGTTTTCTCCCTCATGGGCCTGGCTTCCTAATTAAGTTGGGTTTCGGGATATATTAAAATGATTTGTCATCTCTGGAGCACGCGCGCGCCCTGGTGTGAGCCGCAGGAGGGACGGTTGGTTTCCGCAGGTCAGTGGGTGTGGGAAGCCTGGGCCTGGGCACCAGGAGGGGTCAGCTCTGGGGGAAGACCCTTTCCCAGCTGCTTTCCCCAGGCCTGGCCGCGAGGACAGTAGCACTGGGTCTCTCCAGGCCTGCGCCTCTGGAGGAGAAACTGATCCCAGAAACGGCCTGAGAGCCGACCCTCTTGGGTGGAGACTGCAGTGCCCGGGGAGGCTGCCTGGGCCGCGCCAGGAATGAGCTGGCCGGTCCGCGGAAGTCCTTAGGGACCGGACCGGACTGAGCGACTGCCCCTCGCCCCTTGAGTGCAGAGAGACCCTGAGAGCTTGTGTCTGACTGTCCACCCCGACGCCTGGCACACACCTGAGTGCACCCCAGCGGGCTCCTCGGAAGTGTCCCTGCACCCCACAGGCCTGTCACACACTTCGCCACGCCCCTGGATTTGAGGCTGCGGGATTCAGGGGCAGTGACAGCTGAGGCCCGGATGTCCCCTGGCGGCAGCTCTGGGAAACTCTGTCGTTTGCCTCCCTGCACCTGTGACCCTGTTCTTTGCCCTTCTGGCCTCTGGGATAGAGAAGTTCAAGAGCACTGGCTTGGATTCCTTTTTCAAAGCGACGGCTTCATTGAGACATGACTTACCATACAGTTCACTCGGAGTAATCAGTGCAGTGGTCGTTAGTACGTTCACACATATGTGCACCCATTGCCGCAGCCAATTTTAGATGATTTCCAGCCCATACCCCTGAGCTGTCTCACCCCCTAGGCCCCTACCCCCCTGTTTTCCCAGCCCTAAGAAGCCACTAATCTACTTCTTGTCTCGATAGATTTCCTGTCCGGGACATTTTGTGTGATGGAATCATACAATTTTTGTCCTTTTGGGTTTGGTGTCTTCCCTTAATGTTTTCAGGGCTCGTCTGTGTTGTAGCCGGGGCCAGCATTTCATTTATGTTCACGGCTGAAAAATAATATTCCCTTGTATGAACAGACCACATTTTGCTTATCCATTTGTCTGTTGATGGACGTTTGGTGTGTTTCCACCTTTGGCTGTTATGAATAAAGCTGCTGTGAACCTCGTGTACAGGTTTTGCGTGGGTATATGCTTCCATTTCTCTTGGGTGTGTGCCTAGGAGTGGAGCTTCTGGGCTATGTGATAACTGTATGTGTGATCATTTAAGGAGCTGCCAGACTGTTTTCCCAAGTTGGCTGCCCCGTTTACACTCCCAACAGCCGTGTGTGAGGTTGGTATCCCCACATCCTCGCCAGCACTTGCATTGGTCTGACTTTCTGACTAGAAATCTTGCGGGTGCGCAGTGGTGTGTCACTGTGGTTTTGATTTCCTCCCCTCTAGTGACCAATGACGCTGAGCATCTGTTCACATGTTTATTAGCCCCTCGTATATCTTCTTTGGAGAAATGTCTATTCAAGTCCTCTGACCACTTTTTAGTTAATTAGGTTGTCTTTCTGTTGAATTGTAAGAGTTCTTTATATATTTTAGCTACAAGTCCCTTATCAAATATACTTTCACCCATTTTGTAGGTTGTGTTTTTTATAATCTTGACTATGTTCCTTGAAGCACAAGTTTTAAATTTTAACGAAGTCCAATTTCTCTATCTTTCCTTTGCTTGTTTGGGCTTTTGGTGTCATACCTAAGGGTCCGCTGCCAAATCCAAGATCATGAAAATTTACTCCTGTGTTTTCTCCAAAGAGTTTTACAGTCGTCGTTGCTACATTCAGATCTGCGATCCATTTTGAGCGGACTTTTTTATAGGGCGTCAGGTGAGGGTCCAGCTTCATTCTTTTGCACATGGTCATCCTATTGTCCCAGCACCGTTGGCTGAGAAGACATTCTGTCCACCTGGGTGGACTCAGCACCCTTGTTGAAAATCAGTGGACCATAAGTATGTGGGTTTATTTCTGATTCTCAGATCTATTTCGTTGATCCATACATCTGTCCTCGGGCCCAGACCACCCTGTCTTAACGATCATTGCTCTGTACTGAGTTTTGAACTGAGAGGTAGGAGTCCTACTTTGTTCCTTCTCAGGGTTGTTCTGGCTGTTCTGGGTCCTCTGAAATTCCATGTGAATTTTAGAGTCAATTTGTCGATTCCTACAAAGGAATAAGCTGGAAAAGGCATTGAATCTATAGGTTAGCCTGGGGAGCAGTGCCATCTTCACAATGTTAAGTCTTCTGATCCGTGAACATGTGATATTTTTGCAAATATTTAAATCTTAAAATTTTTTTTCAACAGCATTTGGTAGTTTTCGGAATGTAAGTTTTGCACTTGTTTTGTTAAACTTATCCCTAGATATTTTACTCTTTTCGGTGCTACCCTAATGGGACTGTTTTCTTAATTTCATTTTTGAATTTTCATTGCAAGTGTATGGAAATACAATTGATTTTTGTATGTTGATCTTGTATCCAGCAGTCTTGCTGATTAGTAAACAGACGACATATACTTATGGTATTGATACTATACATTTTCTCTGCTTTATTGTAAAAATACAGTGTATAATACGTATTACTTACAGAATATTAATCTATTATTTGTATTTTCGGTATGGTTTCTGATCAACAGCTGGCTGTTAGTAGTTAAATTTTGGGGGAGTCAGAGTTATACAAGGGTTTTGATTGAGTGAGAGTAGCACCCCTAACTTTGCATTGCTCAAGGGTCAACTGTATTTCTTACTTTTTTTAATCCCCACTTGAGGATATTTTTTCCATTGCTTTTTACTTTTCAGAGAGAGTGGAAGAGAGAGAGAAACATCGATGTGAGAGAGACACATTGACTGGTTGCCTCCCTCAGGTGCCCCAACCTGGGCCGGGGATCAAGCTGGCAACTGAGGTACATGCCCTCGAGGGGAATTGAACCCGAGACCCTTCAGTCCGAGGGCCGATGCTCTAACCCCTGAGCCAAACCGGCCAGAGCTCAGCTGTGTTTCTTTCTTTCGGGTTGTCTATTTCCCCTCGAGTCGGTCTCGGCAGCTTGTGTCTCTGGCTGGCTTGGATTCTCACAGCACGTTTTTAGGCCTGTCAGCTTTCAGTCATTGCTGACATTTATTGAGTTCCAAGTGCCAAGCATTTTTTTGGGCATGAGCTCACTTAATCTTTACAGGAACCTGATGAACTAGTCAGGATTATCATCTCTGTTTTATACGCTAAAAAGTTAAAAAATGAGTGGGGGTCACACAGCTAGGAAATAGTTGAGCCAGGGAGCCAGGATGTGAGCCCTGGCCGTCCAGCCACACAGCCCTCCATGCTCTCCTGAGGCCCTGCTCTGTGGGAGGAACAAGGAACAAGTACAAGAATGGGTCAGGCCCAGCCGGCGTGGCTCAGCGGTTGAGCATTGACCTAGGATCCAGGAGATTGCGGTTCGATTCCCGGTCAGGGCACATGCCCGGGTTTTGGGCTCGCTCCCCAGCAGGGGGTGTGCAGGAGGCAGCCGGTCAATGACTCTCTCTCATCATCAATGTTTTTCTCTCTCTCCCTCTCTCTTCCTCTCTCTGAAATCAATAAAGAAAAAATTTAAAAAAAGAAAAGAAAAGAATGGGTCAGACCTGGGCACTCCCAGAGAGCCCACACCTGAGAAAGGAAGGTGCCTGAGGCCTGACATGAACAAAGAAAGGCCTGGGAGGTTGGGCCTGGGCCCTGAAGGCAGGTCCAGGGCAGGGGGCCTGTTGGGTGACTTTGGGGGTGTGGCCCTCCCAGGGTTTTGTCTTTTACATCTCCTCCCCCAAGTGCTGGGAGGGGGGTGCGGGGGAGGCTGTCACCGAGAGCGTCCCCAGGGGGCCCGGCAGGTCTCTTTCAATCATTCCCCGGGAGAGGAGAGGCACGAGCATTTGTATGACAATCGCTAGACAGAAATCTGGAGCAACCAGACATAACTCAACATAATTATTTCTGCTTAATGACTTCTGCTACTTGATTCTGTCTCGAGCAATGACTGTAATCTTTATCTGTCACAGGGAAGCTGGTGGCCGAGGAGCCCCTGTGGCTTAGCGATAGAGCCTGGAGGAAATTTTGTTGGAGTTAATGGACTGTCCCCAGCAGCCTGGGAGCCAGAGCCTCCAGGCCTCAGGAGGGACGGACCCTCCTCCTGTGAGGACGCTGGTGTCACAGCTGGCCTGCCCTCTTTGTCACAGATGGGAAACGGAATGGCAGAGACCACAGGGTGGTCACAGGGCCGCTCAGAGGCAGAGGCACACCTGGGACCAGAGCTCCTCTGCTGTCCCCCCACCCAGTGGCTGGTGTGCATCTAGTGAGACGGATGGGCTGTGATAGGTGTCCATGTGGCAACAGATGTTTTTACCTGTCGCTGAGCTGGTCACTGAGAGTGTGGGGCCTTACGCCTTCTGATCGCTCGTCAGATGTGGGGCCAGGGCTTGGCTGCGGGCGCTCCTGGGAGCCTGCCCTCTGCTGGGCGGCCCTTACAGCGACCCGAGGCTCAGAGAGTGAGGTCGGGCCGCAGGGACTCGGTGCCGCCAGTGCTTGAACCCGGTGTGCAGACCCCGGAGGCCATGCCCAGCCCTGGCTGCAGCCCCTCCTGAGGGTGGCCACAGTGTCAGTGGGGGACTTCTGCCATCAGTACCATGGTGGCCTTCCCTCCCTCCTGGCGCGGGGCGCACGTGCCGTGGCCCCCGCCCTAAGTGACTGGACGGGGCCAGAAGCCAGGGTTTTCTGTGCTTAGCGTGGGGTTTGTGAACACTGGGGTCCCCCCCAGGCCATGGCAGCAGCCTGAGGGAAAGGCAGTGGGCTCTGGGCAGGGTGTCCACACCAGGGTGACCTGTGGTCCTTCCTTCCAGGGCATGGTCTAGTGGCTCAGACAAGGACCCGGAACCAGCGGCCGAGGTTCTGATCCCTGCTCAGTCTCCGCCTCCGCGTGGCCTTGGGTAAGTCGCTCTGGATGGGCCCGGGAGTGGGGGCGGGTGGAGGCAGCCGTGGGCAGGGCCTGGCGGAGGGCCGTGGGGCCTCAGCCCACCCAGGAGAGCCCGCCTCGGAGGAGCCTGGGGTTGTCTAGGCCCCAGAAGCAGAGCTGCCCCCTTGTCCTTCCCCCCTCCCCCCCAGAAGGAGTCACCTTTTAGCGCTCAGCCGCGGGCAGAGATTTGGACCCGAAACCTGAAGTGTCGGGTCCCTGCCTTAGCTTCAGAGGTTGCTGGGAGCCGGTGTGTCTGGGGGGCGGCGAAGAGGAGGGCAGGTGGCGATTGCTGGTTCCATTGGAGGACCCCACAGGCCCGAAAACAGGCGCCCAGCAGCCCCCGGGCATGGTTGCCGTCACACCCACACAGATACCCACTAGCTGTCCCCCGGGGAGCTGCATCCCCCGGGCCGGGGCCTCCTGTCGTGTCCTGACTTCTCTCCTGTCACCTGCCCACCTTGTGAAAGTGCTCACTGGGTTGGGACCAGAGACCCAGGCTGGGGCCTCCATCTCCAGGGACAGATTAATGGTGGGTCTCTGGGCTTTTCTCCCCAAAGAAAAGAGACACAAGTTCACGTGGAAGGCGCTGCTTTCACTGAAGTTGACCCGTGAACAACTCAGAGGTTAGAGGCTCCCACCCTGTGCAACCAAAAATCAGTTTATAGTTTTTGACACCCCACAAACTTAACCACAGTGGTCCCTCAGTATCCACAGGGGATTGGTTCTAGAACCCCCCACCCTCACCCCATGGATATCAAAACCTGCAGGTGCTCAAGTTTCTTCTATAAAATGGTATAAAACAATGCAGACAGTCGGCCCTGCACATCCTCGGATTCCCAACTGTGGATCAAAATACTGTTTTCAATTCAAAGTTGGTTGACTCCTTAGATGTGAAGCCCAGGGATGCATTGGACCAACCATATATTTATTTAAAAAATTCACGGAAAACGGACCCGTGCAGTTCAAACCCACACTGTTCAATGATTAGCTGTAGTGTGATCTCCTTCCACCAGCCCCACTGGAACTGGGAACGGGAGGGAGAAAAGGGGGCTTGGCGTGGCCTGGACATTGCCTGCTTGCTCGTGGCCCACCTGGAGGCTCAGGGGCAGGAAGGGGCCAGGAGAGTGTGATCCCAACTGACCTCTCCCGGGTGTCGGGCTGGCGCCCCCACAGTGTTGAGTGGTCTGCAGACCCCAGGTGGGCCCCGGGAGAGCCGCCCGAGCGGCCTTCGGGCGGGGACTGTGGCCGTTTGAGGCAGGCACCAGGAAGGGGAAGCCCCCCCTGGACTGTGAGTTGAGGGCTATTTTTAGAGTGACTCAGGATGACTTTGCAGTATCACTTCCTGTGGGTGTCCGGGCCGCCCTCAAGCACAAGGGCAGATCCCGCATGGTGGGCATTGTGGGCAGACGTGCCCGTGCTCACATGCACACTGCGCACGCGTGACGTGGCTTGGCGTTGTCACCCGCTGTGGACTCGGGAGTCGGGACCGCCGCGCCCGCCTGCAGGACGCCAGCACTGGGCAGGAGAGCCACTGCCCTCTGGCAGCCCTGAGCCTCTGCTCTGGGGAGGCTTCTGTGAGAGGTGCCATGTGGGTCCGAGTGAGCGAGACCCCGCGAAAAGGAAGGGCGCCGTCACTGCCAGTCAGTGCCCCGTGTGGGGACTGAGGGAGGCTGCGCAGTGAAGGAATGAGCGATCAAGCGATGTCCCTGAGGTCCAGCTGCTTTTTGGCGCCTGGGTCAGGGCCCCGAGCCAGGTCAAGCCCACGCCAATCCATGCATCCCAAGGCTTTCGGCACTGTCCCAGGCGCAGGACCCTGACTTTTGGGACAGCTCAGATCCCGTATTTTCTGGGCTAGTGGGTTATGGGATTCTTCCTAGCCAGGCCCTGGGTTGATGGAATGCAGCTCTAGGTTCTCTCGGACCTAGGCCCCAGCCTGAATGCTGGAGTCTGTGGGTTTGTCTTGGAATCTGCCTTCTGTGTCCCCCTCTGCCACCCAGCACCCGAGCCCAGCGCCTGGCTCTGAGCAGCAGCTAACTCGGTGTAGAGAAGAGGGAATTCCTGCCTGGTCTTCCCAACCAGACTGCAAGTGCTCTGCACTGTGGTTTTCACTTAGTAGGTGCTCATTAATGTGTATCGATTGACACTTTCTGTGTGTGTTTGTACACTGGCCCCAGCTGTCCCTCAGAGTATAGGGCTCCTGGGGTTGTGGTTTTTAAAAATGGCAAAAGCGCCCAGCTGGCGTGGTTCAGTGGTTGAGCATCAACCTAAGATCCAGGAGGTCGCGGTTCTTCGATTCCCAGTCAGGGCATGTGCCCAGGTTGTGGGCTCCATCCCATGCAGGAGGCAGCCGATCAATGACTCATTGATGTTTCTGTCTCTCTCTCCCTCTCCCTTCCTCTCTCTGAAATCAATAAAAGATATATTTAAACATTTTTCTAATAAATAAAAATGGCAAAAGGCAGCTTTTATGAGCTGTCTTCAGTCAGGATTATAAGCACACACACCCTTTAACAACCACTGAAGACCGTAGCTGCGGAGGCCACCAAGGGGCAGCTGGCATGTGGCCATTCTCGGGGCTGGCTTTTTAGCCCGGCTCATGCCTTTCTTAGTGGGAATGACTTACTGTTTTTATTTCTCCCCCAAGACATTAAACATGAATCAAAAAGCATGAGATGATTCACTGGAAGTTTTCTTCCAAGTGTAAGAAAACAGAAGAAAATGTTTTCGGATCTGTGTGCTGAGCCACAAGTGATTCCAGACAGGTGGCCCTCCCTCCAGGGGCTCCCCTCTTGGAGTGGACTTTGCCCTGCGGACAGAGCCAACTGTCAGCAACACAGAACCCAGGGGACCATACATGTCTTCAAAACGCCTCTTAAGTCTAACAACATTTATAATGACATTTCTTTTTTTTAAATATATCTTTATTGATTTCAGAGAGAGGAAAGGAGAGGGAGAGAGAGAAACATCAATGATGAGGGAGAGAGAGAAATATCAATGCACGCCCCCGACTGGGGACCGAGACCGCAACCTGGGCATGTGCCCTGATCGGGAATCGAACCGCCATCTCCTGGATCCTAGGCCCACGCTTCACCGCTGAGCCNAGAGAAACATCAATGCACGCCCCCGACTGGGGACCGAGGCCGCAACCTGGGCATGTGCCCTGATCGGGAATCGAACCGCCATCTCCTGGATCCTAGGCCCACGCTTCACCGCTGAGCCACCCCCGGCCGGGCTATAATGACATTTCTTACAGACTGTTTCTATCCAAGACATCTCAGAATTCGGCCAGACCTCAGAGGTTCGTTCACTTGGGGCCCATGAATTGAACATGTGGCCATCACTCACGCAGGACCCAGCCGGGTTTAGCTTTTCGCCATCCCCTGGGAAAAGCACTAAGCGAGGGGTCTGCCAACCGAGGTCCAGGGAGAGGGTCGTGAACTCCACTAAGTGAGCGAACTTCTCAGCTCTTGGGGACGCCGCTCCTGGGGACAGACTCAGACCAGTTTGTAGGGCTGGAAGGTGCCTTGGGCCATGCTGTCCAAAGTCATGTACTGAGGAGGAAAGTGAGGGACCCAAGAGCACCCAGGCCTCTAACTCTGCTCTGAAGGGAAATGACAGAGGTGCCAATAACAACCATCTTACCTGCTCGCTCCAAACGCCCCTCACGCACCTCCCTCTCCTCCTGAGAAAGAATTCACAGGCATTTTTACACGTGTGTTTGGACTAAGACTTTACAAACTGAAACTGCCCTCAAGGCATTAGACCAAATTCCTAGGGTTTGATGGTATTTTTCTTCTTTCCCCTCCCTGCCCCTCCCTGATACATTTGTTAATCTGTCCGTCTGTTCCATTCTGATCTGTACTGGCCTCTGCTGTTACATTGTTAGTCCCGTCACTGCTCCGGAAGGTGCCTGGGGAGGTAACAGGCCCAGAGCCGCGTAGCAGGGACAGGAACTTACAGGTGCAGGGGTCTCCCCAGAAACTCGGGCCTGCTAGTCATTGACGGCCAGATGCTGTCCTGGGCTCCCTGCATCCCCAGAAGAAAGTCCAGAGTCCAGAGGCTGGCCCTGCCACCTCTCCCGCTGTGTCCCCCTAACCAGCCGTCCCAGTCACGCAATGCTCTCCACGCGCATACCTCCTCGCACGGAGCGGCTTCCCACTGGAGTGCCCCGTCCGACCCTTGTCCACACGCGCACGTTTCCCCAGATGGCTCAGGCTCCTGCACGCCTTCCTCACGTCAGGGCCCTTTACATCGCCAGGTCCTCGTGCATAAAATACCTTAGTAAGTGTATAGAATGGCTGTGGAATGAATGGATGAATGGAAAACGTGGCCCCTGCTGTTTTCTCTGAGAAAATTCCCAGGAGTGAAATCCTGATCGATCCACAGGCTGATGTGATGGGAAGGTCCTCGCCCTGAGAGCAAGCCCTCCCCCCGGGGGGGTGTCACGGTGTTCCTTGGCCAACAGCGAGGGGCAACAGCCATGGAGTCTCGGGCTGCAGCCAGGCCTGGGCAGTGTGAGCTGGCTGGGGGCCCTGCCCTGCTCACCCGCTTTCTTCCATCCTTTCCCTCATTTCCTCTCTGAGGAGCAGGAGTTGGAATTTCACTGACACCCCCCCCCATGTGTCTGGGCCTCAGGGATGCCAGGCTCTCTGCCCACCCGGGTGGCACACAAATGAGAAGAAAGTGCCGAGAGCGGCCTCGGCCGCCCAGCCTGGCTCTGCTTGATGCTGCGACTAAGCTCATTAAGGATGCCCCAGGGTTATTTTATCATAGAAGCTGTGATAATACCTCTGTGTGTTTGTCCGACGCTTGATATTCGCCCAAGTCCTTCCACAGCCTTCGTTTCTCTTTATCCTTGTGGCCGCAGGTAGGGGCCGTTATTTCCACTTTACCATCAAGGAAACCGAGGCCCAGAGAAGTTAAGACAACCAAGACCATAAATCTGAGGCAGGGGGAGGGGCTGGGGGCGCCCGG